GCTTTCCTGTTTCCTCCACTACTAGCCTTAAGTCTTTCCCTTCCTGCAAAGAATAGTTCCTTTATTACTCCCTCTACAGTAATCTTTTCTCCTGCTTTTCCTCTGGTTGGCTGCTTCCTCCTAGATGGTTTACTTCCGGGACACAACACAGAGCATCTTTTTTTTTTTTAATAATAAATTTATTTTTTATTGGTGCTCAATTTGCCAACCATAACACCCAGTGCTCATCCCGTCAAGTGCCCACCTCAGTGCCCGCCACCCAGTCACCCCCACCCCCCACCCTCCTCCCCTTCCACCACCCCTAGTTCGTTTCCCAGAGTTAGGAGTCTCTCATGTTCTGTCTCCCTTTCTGATATTTCCTACCCATTTCTTCTCCCTTCCCCTCTATTCCCTTTCACTATTATTTATATTTCCCAAATGAATGAGACCATATAATGTTTGTCCTTCTCCGATTGACTTATTTCACTCAGCATAATACCCTCCAGTTCCATCCACGTCGAAGCAAATGGTGGGTATTTGTCGTTTCTTTTTTTCTTTCTTTTTTTTTAATAAATTAATTTTTATTGGTGTTCAATTTACCAACATACAGAATAACACCCAGTGCTCATCCCGTCAAGTGCCCACCTCAGTGCCCGTCACCCATTCACCCCCACCCCCCACCCTCCTCCCCCTCCACCACCCCTAGTTCGTTTCCCAGAGTTAGAAGTCTTTATGTTCTGTCTCCCTTTCTGATATTTCCCACACATTTCTTCTCCCTTCCCTTATATTCCCTTTCACTATTATTCATATTCCCCAAATGAATGAGAACATACACTGTTTGTCCTTCTCCGATTGACTTACTTCACTCAGCATAATACCCTCCAGTTCCATCCACATTGAAGCAAATGGTGGGTATTTGTCGTTTCTAATGGCTGAGTAATATTCCATTGTATACATAGACCACATCTTCTTTATCCATTCATCTTTCGATGGACACCGAGGCTCCTTCCAGTTTGGCTATTGTGGACATTGCTGCTAGAAACATCGGGATGCAGGTGTCCAGGCGTTTCATTGCATCAACACAGAGCATCTTGCCTGAATGCTTCTCTTGGATAGCATTCTGAACACTGAATTTACCAACTCCAGGCCCTGCTGCCTCAGAAACTCAACTGGGACCTTGGCAGGTTCTGAGATAATTTAGCTGCTTCCCTTTGTGGCTTTGATGCTTGGTTCATTTTCTATTTAGCTTCTTTGGTCACATCCCATCTCAACAAAACCCTTTGGCTTCCTAGTGCACTTGGACTAAAATTCAAACCAGTAAATGCTCCGACACTCTGTGTGACCTGACTCTACCTTCCTCTCCTACCTCCTCCCACACCATTCTTTCTGCTTAAGTTACACTGGGCTCCTCTCTGTTCTTCAAACATGTGAGGCTCTTTCCTACCCCTGGACCTTTGTCCTTGCTGTTCCATCTGCTTGGAATATACTTCCTCCTCTTCCCCATGGCTGACTTGCCCATCCATCACGTTGTAGCATCCTCAAAGATGCCTTGCCTGACTTCTTCTCTATCCAAAGTCACCATCTCTGGCCTCTGTTTAGTTATTTTTATCACACACCCCTCTTCTTTCCTTTATAGGGTTTATACTATTATGTATCTATCCTGTTGTTTCTTTGTTTATCTGTTGTCTGTCACCTTTCTAGGCACTGAGGATCTAAATCCCTGTTCTTGGTACACCTGAGTGGCTCAGTGGTTGAGTGTCTGTCTGCCTTTGGTTTGGGTCATGATCCTGGGGTCCTGGGATCGAGTCCCACATCAAGCTCCCCCTGGGGAGCCTACTTCTCCTTCTGCCTGTGTTTCTCATAAATAAATAAATAAATAAATAAATAAATAAATAAATAAATAAATAAATAAAATCTTAAAAAAATAAATCCTTGTTCTCATGAAGCTTATGGCCTAGTGAAAGAGACAGATAAAAGCCATTTAAACAAATGAATAATATAGTTTCAAGTATTGATAAATGCTATAACAGTAAAGCGATGTAAGGGGATAGTGTGTTTTAGGGAATGTGGAGGAGTGGTGGTGGTTAGGTAAGAGTAGTCAGGGATGGCATCTTTGGAGGGGTGACATTGGAGCAGAGAACAGATTGCGGGGATGGAGCAGACCTTTGAAGTTATGGGGGAATGGCAAGTGTAAGAGCCTCCTGGCAACAGTCAATATGGCAGGTTGAGGAATAGACAGGAAGCTGGAGTGGCATGAAGTGAGGGAGAGAAGGATGGAAAATGAGGCTAGAGACAGAGGTGCTAGGAACAAGCCCAGGGGAACTGGGTGAGTTGGTAAAGAGTTTGGATTTTCTTCTAAGTGTGATGGGACATGTCTTCACAGCAATATTCAGTTTCCAAAGCATATACCTCATCTCATCTCTCATACACTTCACAAGAACCTCTGAAGTAGGTGGATAGATAATAATACCTTTTATCATGAAGGAAGCTACCATTTCATCATTTTACCTTTGGTAAATCAAAAAGGAAGTTCAAGCTTTGCCAAATTAGAAAACTTGCTTTTTTAAAAAAATATTTATTATTTATATACACTGTATTGTTAGTCTCAGAGGTAGAATTTAGTGAGTCTTTGGTTGCCTAAAAGTTGCTTTAAGTCACACAATTGAAACAAGACTCTTTATATCAGTGCTGTCTAGCTTTCCATAGGCATTGAAATGCTCTGGGGAGCTCTACAAAATAGTTACACCCAGGTCCTGCCCCCAGAAATGACTTAAGAGGGCCGAGGTGTGGCCCAGGAGGATTGTTGTTGTTGTTATTGGTGTTTTTTTTTTTTTTTTAAAGATTTTATTCATTTATTTGAAAAAGAGAGCACTAATGAAGGGGGGTGGGCAGAGGAACAAGCAGACTCCCTACTCAGCAGGGAGCCCAAAGCAGGGCTCCATCCCAGAACCCCATCCCAGGACCCTGAGATCACCACCTGAGCCAAAGGCAGACACTTAACTGACTGGGCCCCCCAAGTACCCCCCCCCAGGGTTGTTAAAGCTCTCTAGGTGTTTCTAACTTGCCTGAGAACCACTGCTTTCAATCCACTAGCTTTTCACTACATGAACTGCTTCCTTGACAGAGCTTTTCCACTAAACTGCCCATTAAAATCACTGAGGGAGCTTTCTAAGGATTATGGAGTTCCAGACTGCAGACTAGAATCTAAAATCAGAATTTCTGGTGTTTGTTTATAAGCACCTCAATTGCCTATCTGTGTTGGAGCTTCCCCCATGTACTTTTTGATTTTTCCTATTTGCTGTTGTCTCTTCGCTTGTTCCCTTTGGGTTTTATACCTTTTTAATTCCTTTCCTGTCATTTTCTTTTTTTTATTTATTAGTTTAATTTTTTATTTTTTTATTTTTTTAATAAATTAATTTTTTATTGGTGTTCAATTTACCAACATACAGAATAACACCCAGTGCTCATCCCGTCAACTTTCCTGTCATTTTCATGGGATTTCAGGAAGGAGGGGATTTAAACGAGTGTATTCAACATACCATGTTGAACTTGAAGGCTTAAAAATTAAAAAATGTTTAGATAATTAAATTTATACACACATTCATTGTAAAAAAATTTCAAATATTATAAAAGGGCACATGGTATAAACTGAAAGTTCTTTAGCCCCCACCCCCCATCACCCATTTCCACTCCTCAGGATAACTGCTAGCCTGATAGTAACATTTAAACTTAGACTGCAATTAGGTGCATACTAAGTTTTTAATATATTTATTATGTCTTCTCTCTGGTTTTAAACTTCCTATTTTTATTTAAATACCTTATGTCTTTTACTGTATTATACTGCAACTTTATGCTTTTTTTTTAAAAACAATTTTTTTTTCTTTGATGTTAACAACCATCTCTAGGGGAAACCCTTTCAACCTTTAATTCCCAGCCTGCAAGTCAGTTCTTAGTTTACGGAGCATTTCAAAATCTTCTGGGCAAAATTATTGTTCCATTCTTTATGTTCCTAGATCACTTTGTTCATACCTCTAGCTCATACTTCTCACACTGCTTGAAAATTATTCATGATCCTATCTTAGCATGTATACACTGCAAACTTCAGACAGCGGTAGGGGAGACTGTATTATGCAATTCTATACTACTGCTATCTCTGTATCAATTGTCTTAGTCTGTGGCTTGTCTTTTTATGCCTTTTGATGAAGAGAAGTTATTGAATTTAATGTAGTCCAAATTTATCAAGGTTTTGTATACACTTTGTGCTTGTGTCATATAATGAACCCAACCCTGAGATCACAGGATGTTTTCCTTTATTTTCTCTTAACCTTTCTGATTTTTTTTTTCCCCTTGAAAGTCTTTAATCTACCTGGAATTAGTTTTTGTATGTGAGGTGAGTGAAGTCCCACAGAGAGCTAGTTGTTTGAGCTCATATACTGGATAATGTGTCTTTACCTTTATCTGGATAATGTGTCTACCCATAATGCTAGCTCTTCATATAATCAAGATCCCACATATGCCTGGATCTGTTTCTGGGTTCTCTAGGCTAAGTTCTGACCACCACTTCTACCATCCTTATACTAATACCAAATGGCCTTAATTTTTACAGCATTAAAAGATAAATAAAGATATATGAAAGGCCGAGTCCTTGAAACACGTTACTCTCCTTGAGGAGTGTTTTGGCAACGTTTTACCCTTTGGTTTTGCATATAGATTCTATTTTTAGATTTTGACGGAGAAAGAGCACGTGCACAAGCAGGGGGATGGGCAGTCAGAGGGAGAGGTTAGAAGCAGGTTCCCCGTGGAGCAGAGCTCAAGTTGCCGCTGGGACCGGACTCTGGGATCATGACCTGGGCCGAAGGCTGAGGCTTATAACCCACCGGGCCACCCAGGTACCCTGCATATAAATTTTAGATAAGCTTGACATTTCAGGAAAGATTCTGTTGGAAATTTGATCGCAATTATATTGAATTGACAGATGCATCCCCACCCCACCGCACCCCCCATCTCGGTTCCCCCAGGAAGTGGCTCAAGAGGTATTTGTGGAATGAATGAAGGTCTGATGAAGGTCTCCAAAGTACATCTCATAAACACGCGAAGTAGGTCAACGAATGAACGAATGGGGGCCACAGATTAACCAGCAGCACATTCTCACCGTTGGGCAACTGTCAATGTCGTCTTCTCCTACTTGTTCTAATACCTTATTCAAAATACACAAACCCACAACCCGATTCTCCACTGAACACGACTCTGTGCCTCCTCCAGAAACAAGTTTTCAGGAAGGCTGTACGTCCGCGGTAGGGCAAAGAGACAAGGCGGTCTGACAGGTAAGGCGCCCTGACCCCTCCGGCTCCCGGGGATGCGTGGCCCGCAGGTGGGCAGCCTCGGGAACCACGGACTACAAGTCCCGGCAGGCCGCGCGGCGGTCCGCTTCGCGAGGCGCAGTCAGCGGGTGGCGGAGAGCAAGGGTCGGCGAACCCCGTCCGCCGGCTGCGGCGTGCAACCTGGCGCCGCGTCCTCGCGTCCCTCGGGGTGAGTAGGGCAGGCGCGCCGGGGCCGCACGGCGCGAGGAGCGCGGGGCAGGCGGTGTGTCCCGCCGGGCGCCTGCCTCCGCTCGGGCGGTGGGGAAGGAACCCTGGGCCTGTGCCCGGGTCACCCGGGACGGCGCGCGGCCACGTGACCGGCGGGGCCCCGCCCCCGCTGCGGTGGCTGCAGCCCGGCTCGCCGGGGGCGGCCGCGCGGACTGCGAGGGGAGGGCTGGGAGGGCTGGGCGGGGCGGGGCGGGAGGGCCTCAGGTGGCGCCCCCGGGAGACCTCTCTCTGGGCTGTTGGGCTGTCGCCGGGATGAGCGCGGGGGCTGAGCGTGGTGCGGAGCAGAGCAGGGGGCCCCGCGGAGATCCAGTGCCCCGGAGCGCCCCTGGTCCCCCCCACCTTGCGCGGGCCCTGCGCTGGCAGTTCTCACCGTGAACGTGCCGATGACACCTGTGTACGGAGAGCAGCTTCCGGAGGACACCTAGCCCAGCTCTCCCCAGGTTGAGCGGCGTTAACTTTCTCCTAGGCAGGAAGCCCGCAGATCCAGTAGGCATTGACTGCTCACGTCCGTGATAACTGGCACTTGGTGGGCGCTGTTGGGGAGGTATTTCGCCGAGTTGCAAGTGAATTAGACTTTCCCCGTCCCTTTTCATGTGTTTTCTTTAAGCATTTTCTTATTGCACAGGTTTTCAAACTGCATCAGAGTCACCTGGAGGGCTTGTTAGCACACGGAATGCTGGACCCCATCCCTAAAGTTTCTGATTCACTAAGTCTTGGGTGGGGAGCAAGATTTTGCATTTCTAACATGCTTCTAGGAGATAGAGATGCTGCCCGGGACATACATTTGAGTTCTTCTGCTTTGTAGGAAAAGGATTCCTGTTTTTTTTTTTTTTTTTTTTTTTAATATTTTTTATGATAGTCACAGAGAGAGAGAGAGAGGCAGAGACACAGGCAGAGGGAGAAGCAGGCTCCATGCACCGGGAGCCCGACGTGGGATTCGATCCCGGGTCTCCAGGATCGCGCCCTGGGCCAAAGGCAGGCGCCAAACCGCTGCGCCACCCAGGGATCCCCCCCCCCCCCCTTTTTTTAAAAGAGTCCTGTGAACTTAAAACACCAACTCTTCCTTCACACCTGGTTATGGGCCTTTGGGTCCTTGTTTGCCAGTTTAACTTTTTGTAGTTATGGTAAATATGTGCCTATTATGGCGTACAAGACTAATTTACTGCTACATCGTTTTATATACAGATTTTCACAAAGTCTGCACTTGAGTCATTTTTCCTGGATTACATCATCGTTTATTATGTCATTATTGGCTTGGCTATTTCTCAACAGCCCTCACAGATGTAAGATTTGACCTCTTTTGGGAGAGCTTGCATTTTATTCCTTCCTGATATGTACATTTTCTTGTCAGATAAGGGACCTATACGATAAGAATAGTGCTTGGTTCTGGCATCCATTTCCCCACTCCCTGCTCAGTCCCTTGACCCCCAACTCATTCACTAAATCTCCTGGATTTAGATTTTTGTGTTGGAGGGACTCCGGTGACCCACCTCTTACCTGCCACTTGCTCTTTGTGTTTGATTTTCCACTGTTCGCCCTTGAGTCCCACTTTCCTGGGATGAACTGAAGGGAGAATTTCTATTCCTTGCCTGAGTGAGATTTATTTTCCCTGTCTGCTCTGGGACCTTGGCATCAGCCAGGGATTCCTTTATTTAATCAATATTGATTCAGCCACCTTCTGGGCATCAAACTCCAGGAAAGGGAGTATGATTACACTTGACCTGCATCATTGGTGGCAAAGCAGGTTAGAAACCTGATCAGGCCAACTATATGGTCCCTGGGCATTGACTCTGCATCTTTCCACACTTAAGACATGATAGCATCATCTACCTTGTTTGGTTTTTAGCTACTTGATGAAACATTTTCAGGTTTCCCTGAAAACCTGATCACTCTTATTGGGTCTTTTCCAGTCTTGGGAGCAGACCAGAAGAAATAATGCTGAATTTCTTTAATGGCCTCGTTAGGAAATGGGAGGAGGCTGTGGTCACTTACAGGATTGATGGAATTGGAGCCCAAAGTGCCTTTCCTCTGGCCATTCTCACCTGTGCACCAAACAGGGAAAGGTGATTTCCATGCTTATTATCCTGAAATGTGGCATGGGAGGGGGTTGCGGATGGGTGGTAACTGATAAGCCAAGCCACTTCTTGGCCCACCACAAACAGTAAATGCTTGGTTCCCCGTTTAGTTGTGCCCAGGGGGTGGACATTTCATTTGACCATCAACTTCCCATTTATAGAGCTTTCCACACTTGCCTTTGGCCTTGTTTCATCACCCGCTGGGGTGTTCCCTGTGGCTTTCCCTTACTTATGCCTGTAGATGATAATAATATTTGTCTCATCTTACTGGGTTGTGTGGAATATCTAAGGAGATAATGAGTGCAAAGGGCTTTCTAAAGGTTGGTTGTTGCTAATATTGTTACCTGATGTTTAGGTTTTAGGGGCTCGGTATCCTCAGGCTCCCTTCACCTCCCAAAAAGTGTGTGCGCATGTGAGAGGTAACTCAGGTGGAAGTCAGAAAGACGAGTAAACAGAACTGGGCAAGGCAATTCATTAGCAAAGGGTTTAATAACGAAAGGTGTTTTTCATCGACAGACATATTTCACGGCTGACAGGGTCTTTTAAAATACCCTGAGGGAAGCGACTCATTTGCATGTTAAAGACTCACACCTTATGGAAAACTCCATCTCCAATCTATTTAGACGCACTTTGGCTCCTATATCATCTATTTTATGTTTTTCAATTTCCACCTCTTTTATTACTGAGGACATTTGCATGAAAACCAGGTCTTGGGAATTGTGTCTGCTTCCCTGAGGCTTCTCCTCCCAAGGTGGGGTGGTCTCATGGCTAGGGGTGGCCTTATTGCCCACAGGGACAGGCAGGTGTCCACCACACCAGGGAGGTGGTGTGTGTGTGTGTGTGTGTGTGTGTGTGTGTGTGTGTGTGTGTGTGTGTGTGTATAGACCCAATTACCCAATTGACAGCCCTGGGGTGGTTTTCACCTGGGAACCTGATTTGTTACTGGCTCATCATAAGCTTCATGGGCTGTAGGCTTTCCCCCTTGATTCATCCATTTAGTAAATACTTTTGGAGCACCTTCTATGCTAAGGCAGGTTTCGTAAACTGTAGCCGCTGGGCCAGGCCTTACCCATCACTTTATGTATTGTCTGTGGTTGCCATTGGCTTTGTGGTACAATGCAGAGTTGAGTAGTTCTGACAGTGGCAATGTAGTTTGCAAAGCTGAAAATATTTAATATATGGTCCTTTATGGAAATAGCTTATGACCTCTGTGTTGTGGGGGAGAATAGCGAGGCCAGAATGTGCCTGCTGTGTTTGAGGAATAGCAAGGACATTAGCACTTTTGAAGTGGAGTAAGGGGGAAAATGGAAAGGCCTGGGATGTTGGAGGAAACTGGGGGGCAGATCAGGTAGGGCTTTGTAGGCCAGTGCCTTAGGTCTTCTGAGTGAAGTGGGAGAGAGTTGAGAGCAGAGGGATGCATAATTGGACTGAGGCTTCCATGTTGCGAATAGATGGGGGAAAAATTCACTCTTATTCAATCATGTATTTGTTAGCAGGCTTATTAATTAATTATGTAATATGTTAACAAATTCTGCCCTTTGCATGTAATGAAAGAGGCAGAAATAGGACCAGATGCTTAGAGAAAAAAGCAGTGCATAATAAGGCCAGATAGGAAGGAGCAACTAATTCTTTTTTTTAATAATAAATTTATTTTTTATTGGTGTTCAATTTGCCAACATACAGAATAACACCCAGTGCTCATCGCGTCAAGTGCCCACCTCAGTGCCCACCACCCAGTCACCCCCACCCCCCGCCCTCCTCCCCTTCCACCACCCCTAGTTCGTTTCCCAGAGTTAGGAGTCTTACATGTTCTGTCTCCCTTTCTGATATTTGCCACCTATTTTTTTCTCCTTTCCCCTTTATTCCTTTTCACTATTATTTATATTCCCCAAATGAATGAGACCATATAATGTTTGTCCTTCTCCAATTGACTTATTTCACTCAGCATAATGCCCTCCAGTTCCATCCCCGTGGAAGCAAATGGTGGGTATTTGTCGTTTCTAATGGCTGAGTAATATTCCATTGTATACATAAACCACATCTTCTTTATCCATTCATCTTTCGATGGACACCGAGGGAGCAACTAATTCTAATTGGTTGGCTCACAAAAGGCTTCATAGAGGGATGAGGGACGGGGTTTGAGGGTGGAGAGGTATCTGGGAGATGAAGCTGGCAAAGTCTGATGGGATACGAATAGGATGGGCCTTGAATGCCTTACTAGAGAATTTGGACATTTTTGTCAGTGGAGAGGATATAGAATAATATGAGTGCCCATGAAGGTTAGGGTGATGATGACCTGGGTGGAGAGTAAAGGTCAGATGGGATATGAGGAAATGCATTTGGAAAGGGGAATGGTTGGGCAGTTCACACAAGATAGGATGGCCTTCCTCCCCTGCTTTGTTAATTGTATGAGGTTGCGCCAAATCCTGATCTCCCAGGTGCTAGGAGTTCTTCTACATAAGCTCATCAGTATTTCTGGAAAGAAGAAATGAAGTTTAAAATAGCAGTAAGGAAAAGAAGTCTTGTTTGCTGAATATGTTAGGCATTATATTAAAGCAGCATCTCATTTAATGCTCATAGTGACCCTAGGAGGGAGGTACTGTCAAGAGCTCCCTTTTGTCTGTAATTACATGGGAGGGCCCAAGGTTGTGACTTGCTCAAGGTCACACAGCTGGTGAGCAGTGGAGCAGGATTCTTCCTGGCTCCAGAGCCTGAATTCCTGACTGAGGCTGATTCCCTGGCCACTAGTGGCTCCATATGACCTTTTTAATGTGGGCTTCTCTGCAGGCCCCGCAGTGATGGTCTCTGGATCATCCCTCATGGACCTTCTTGCACCAATGATCTTAAAGAAGGAAGGTGTATAAGGAGCTGAGGTACACAGCCTAATGTAAGGCCTGCTTCCAGGTCCAGTTGGGAACCCGTGTCTTAGTGAGACAAGGTTGAGGGTGAACTGAGCACCCTCCCCTTTTTGGTAGAAGACACTACAGGCTGAGCGTATGTAGATAGCAAGGTGAAAGGGGAGAGTTAGGTGGGTACCTGTCCCGATATTAGAAGTGAGGCATGCAGAAGTCTCCAGAGACTGACAGGCAGGGGAGTAAGTAAGGTCCTTTACCAAAGCATGGCATTGGGAGAGGAAATAATGAATAATTGTAATAATAAGTATAATAATAAGAGATGAGTGGTGGTGGTAGTAGTGGTTGCTACTGTGTGCTACTGTAGGTGGCACCTTGCAATACGTTTTGCATGATTCCCTTGTCCCTTACTATCCCATCTGGTAGACACTGCTGTCATCATCCCCATTTTATGGACAAGGTCATAAGAGTCAGAGTTAGCAATTTGCCAATTTACCCAGTTGTTAAGTAAGTACAGAGACTCAAACCCAGGCATGCTGGACTGCATGTTCCCAACCACCATGTCTCTTTCTGGAAGGAGCCCTGGGCTTATTAAAATGTTGGCAGAAAAATAAAGAAATAAAAAGCTGGCATAATGATGTGGAGGTAGGGAGATTTTCATAAATAAAGAGAATATGGGGAAAAAAGAATATGAAGTAAATAAAGCCCATTCTACAAAGCAAGATTTTAATTTATTTTTATTTACAGACTCCATTCTTGGCACAGTTAGGAACTGAACCCAGGAGCTGAGCCAGAGCATTTGTGTTTAGGGAAACACATGGGTTTCTTACATTATTTCTTTAAAAATAATTGTTTGTAGTCACTCTTGTAGGGTGATCACAGATACCTGGGGTTGGGAGTAGGTATGATAAACTTGGAAGGCTTGCTTTTGGGCATGGTTTCACCGATGGATTTGAACACATGCAGCCTCTTTATTAAAAAGAAAATATTTAGAAGGATGGCTCTCAGACTTCAGCTTGCATAAAAATCACCCATTATGTTATTAGAATGCAGGTTCCTGAGTCCCACGCCCAGAGGTGGTGATTCAGTGGGCCAGAGGGTAGACCTCAGAATTTACATTTTTGTGTGTTTTTAGAAAAAATGTTAAATGGAGGTATAATTGACAGATAACATCAGTTTCAGGTGTACGACATAGTGGTTCAATATTTATATACATTGGGAAATGAGGACTGCAATAGGTCTAGTTAATCACCCTCACTACACAATTACAATTTTTTTTCTTGTAATGAGAACTTTTAGGATTTACTCTTAGCAACTTACAAATATATAATAAAATAGTAATTATTGTCCATGCTATACATTAACTTCTCTATGATTTATTTTATAACTAGAAGTTTGCATTTATTGATCCCCTTCACCCATTTAGCCCACTCCCACCAACCGGTTCTTTGTATCTGTGAGTATTTTTTGTTTTTGTTTTTTTTTTTAGGTTCCACATACAAGTGAGATCATATGGTATTTGTCTTTTTCTCTCTAACTTACTTCATTCAGCATACTACCCTTCAGGTCCATCCATGGTGCTACAAATGGCAAGATTTCATTCTTTTTTATGGCTGAATTCCATTGTATTCACCTATGAATCACATTTTCTTTATGCATTCATCCATTGATGGACATTTAGGTTGTTTCCATTTCTTGGCTATTGTAAATAATGCTGCAGTGAACATATGAATTCATATGTCTTTTTGAGTTAATGTTTTTGTTTTCTTTTAAATACCCAGAAGTGGAATTGCTAAATCATATGGTAGTTCTATTTTTAAGTTTTTGAAGACCCTCCATACTCTTTTCCATAGTGGCTACACCAATTTACATTCCTGTTAACAGTGTACAAGTCTTCCTTTTTCTTTATATCCTTGCCAACACTTGTTATTTCTCATCATTTTGATACTAGCCATTCTAGCAGGTGTGAAGTGATATCTCATTGTAGTTTAAATTTGCATTTCCCTGATGATTACTGCTATTGCACATCTTCTGGTATTTTTTTTTTCTTTTGCTATTCCTGTTGGCAATTTGTATGTCTTCCCTGGAAAATGTCGATTCAGATCTCCTGCTCGTATTTTAATTAGATTTTTAAAAACTATTGAGTTGTATGAATTCTTTATTTTGAATATTAAACCCTTATCAGATACATGATTTAGAAATATTTTTCCCATCCAGTAGGTTGCCTTTTCATTTTGTTGATGGTTTCCTTTGGTGTATGGAAACTTTTTAGTTTCACGTAGTCCCATTTGTTTACTTTTGCTTTTGTTTGTTTTGCTGTTGGTGTCAGATTCAAAAAGTCATTGCCAAGACTTATGTCAAGGAACTTACTGCCTATGTTTTCTTCTGCAAGTTTTATGCTTTCAGAACTTATGTTCAAGTCATTAACCCATTTTGAGTTAGCTTTTGTGTATGGTATATAATAGGGTTCCAGTTTCATTCTCTTGCATATGGTCATCGAGTTTTCCCTTCACCATTTTTTAAAAAAGACTATCCTTTCCCCATTGTATATTCTTGGCTCCTTTGTTGTAAATTAATTGTCCATATGTATATAGGTTTATTTCTGGACTCTCTGTTGGGTTTCATTGACATATGTGTGTCTATTTTTATGCCAATGCCATACTGTTTTGATTACAGTTTTGTAATATAATAGTATAACCAGAGACCATGATACTTCCAGCTTTGTTCTTCTTCCTCAAGATTGCTCTGGCTATTTTGCTTCTTTTGTGGTTCCATACAAATTTTAGGATAGTTTGTTTTATTTCTCTGAAAAATACTATTAGAATTTTGATAGGGATTGTAATGAATCTGTAGATTGCTTTGGGTGATATGGAAATTTTAACAATATTCTTCCAATCCATAAACACCAAATATCTTTCCATTTATTGCCTAATTTCTTCATTAATATTTCATAATTATCAGTGAACAAGTCTTTCACCTCTTTGGTTAAATTTATTCCTAGGTATTTTATTTTTGATGCAATTATAAATGGGATTGCTTTCTTAATTTCTCTTTCTGATTATTCATTATTAGTGTATAGAAACACAACAGATTTTTGCATGCTGATTTTGTATCCTGTACCTTTACTTTATTTATTCTGACAGTTTTTTGGTGGATTGCTTAGGGTTTTCTGTATATAATATGTCATTTGCAAATAGTGATAGTTTTACTTCTTCCTTTCTAATTTGGATGGCTTTTACTTCTTTTTCTTGCCTAATTGCTCTGGCTAGGACATCCTGTATTGTGTTGAATAAAAGAGGCGGGAGTGGACTTCTTGTCCTGTTCCTGATGTTAGAGGAAAAGCTTGCAACCATTCACTAGTCAGTATGATATTAGCTCTGAGTTTGTCGTATATGGTCTTTATTATGTTGAGGTATGTTCCCCTGTACCTACTTTGTTGAGAGTTTTTAATCATAAGTGGATGTGGATTTTGTCAGATGCATTTTCTGCATCTGTTGAGATGATCATGTGATTTTTATCCTTCATTTTGTTAATGTAGTGTAAGAAATCTGCATTTTTGAAATGGACGAAGATTGTAAAATTAAATCTAAATATATGAGTTATACTAAATGCCAACAGAAAAGACCAACTATATGTTGTTTAGAGAGATGATATAAAATGTAAGTTGAAAGTAGAAGAATGGAAAAAGATGTATCTGTGAATACTTAAAAAAAAAATCTGTGGTTCTACTATGAGGCATGGGTCCAAATAGATTTTAAAGAAAACACAGACAAGGCTGTGTGCAGCAATAGTTTCCTACAAGGAGGAAACAGAGGCACAGAGCAGGGAGAGGATGGTCAGAGACTGAGTCCAGAGCAGAACCAAACAGTGATGACCTGGATCTTCCTGCTGCATCTGTACAGCATTTGCACATGTGGGCGGCTTAGTGATTCCCTTCTCCTGGGTGGACTTCTCTCCTGCTACCTGCCACTGTGTTCAAGGATTTTAGTTTCATACAGAGTTCCTAGAAATTGAAGGGGAAACAGCCTCCTGGGTACAGTGGGCCCCAAATGCTTCAACAATACACCTGGTGGACTGAGCTAGTTCTGGTAGTTCTGGTATCAGGGAGCCTTGTCCACTTAATCCCACTGACTGAGAGTGCATCTGGTTAAACAGATCAAATCAGCAGGTGGACATTGAATCCCTAATTGCAAAGTACCCTGCAGGACCGTGAGTGGACACTGTAATTATAGTCGTGGTGTTTGCCTTCAGGGGGCTCACGGTTTAGACGGGTGGCAGTTTACTCTATCTGAAATCAATATTTTGGAAATCAGCCAGACGTGGAGAGCTTATCTGGCTGCTTCTGACCAGCTGCCGTTTCAGCTGTGGCCTGAGCACTTCTGACCTGTGTGTGCATGGTGGTGAACAAGTTATAAGTGATGATGGCTGGCATGCTTTCCACTTTCCCCATCTGAGATAGCACTTTCCTCACATATTCATCCTCCTTCCTCTGACCCTCTTTGATTTTCTTCTGTTATTGATACCAGCTGGTGTTCTAAAAGGCCTGTTTGCTTCCCACCTGTCGTCCCACCTAGAGTGTAAGGAGCACATGGGCAGGAACTGTGTTTTGTTCCCTCTCCCCCAGGGCCTAGAATGGTACCTGGCGCCCTGCAAGGAATAATGACTTTGAGACTTGGTGCCAGGTCCTCTGCTAAGCATTTTATATACATGATCTCCTTTTATCCCAATAACTTTTGAGGTAGGTATCCTCCTGTTTTACGAGTGAGGAGATAGATCAACAAGATTAAGAAAATGACCCGAGGTCACATAATCTATGAAGTGGCAGAGCCTGGATTTGAATCCTGGTCTGACTTAACTGTGGAGCTCCACTGTTTCTCGTTCTCTCCTTTCCTTCTACAGGGTCTGGGAACATGGCCAGAAGGGTTCTGAAGCTTGCTTCGTGGACCGGCGTGGCTCTTACTGCCTCGGGCTTCTATCTATACAGTAACAAGTACTTGGATCCTAACGACTTTGGTGCTGTCAGGGTCGGCAGAGCAGTGGCAACGGTAGGTCTTTCTCCTTGTCAGAGTGGCAGGGGAACTGCAGTATTCCCTGCAGGTGTTTGTACCTGTAACAGATGTGGAGTTACCCGCGTAGCCTTACATGTGCAAGACTCCCTCTGCTCAGCTGCACAGGCATGGCTGTGTGCCCCCATGTATCTGTGTTCTTGTATGCCTGACCGCTGTCACCCTGAACCCAAATAGAATGGAATTGCACAGGGTCTCTGTTGAAGCCTTTACATTTTAGACTCTGTATCTTACTTTAGTGACAGACCTGGGCTGGTACTCCTCAGCAAATGCATATGGCAAGACTTTGCAGCTTTGTTGAAATTCTATCAGAAAACGCTTTCTCCAGGGAGCTAGTGTGCGTGGTTTCTGAGGCAGGGCTCATACTCGGAGCAGCCTGGCTTTGGAGAACTTTGAGGATCCCTTCATTTTGCACGTGTGAGGGCGGCTTAGTAATACCAGACTAACAGAGAATCTGAGTTGTAAATTTCACCTTTAGAGGTGTTCTTCAGTGGCCCGGGAGCATCCTTCTTGTGTGATCGTGTCCTCTTAATGCTGCTGAGAGCAACTCTCCCAGACATGCGTATATAATTGCCCAATCGGTGGGTAGATTGCCACATGCTTCAATGCTTTCTTTCCTCCTTTGTCTGCTGCAGGGTGAGCTCATCTTTTCTTCCCCTTGGTGTGGATAGACTCTGATGCACAGTCTGTTTGGGTTGTTGTTGTTGTCTGATTGTTTCCTTAATACTCAGTGTTGTGAAGTCTTCTCCCGAGCGAGTTACAGAATCTAGATGGACAAATAAATAGGCATGGGATATAAAATGATTCCTGAGAGCCTACTGAGTGCCTTTCTGGGGCCCAACATTGTCTTATATGCTTTGAGAAGTAGAAATGAACTATCCCACCTAGACCCGGCTTTAAAGGAGCTTATGATTGAGGAGTGCTCACATGAATGGGTCAAAAAACAATCAAAAGCCATGGATTGGGTCAAGATGTGTGACTCAGGTGACCACTTATGGCACCTCAGACACAGAACTGAAACCTGTAGGCTGGGAGTCAGGATGAGTGCCCTAGGGCAAGCAGGCTTCAATGGAACCTTAGGGATTTGAATACAGTTGGCTCTTGAACTATGTGGGGGTTAGGGTGCCAACACCCATGCAGTCAAAGATCCAGGTATAACTTTTGACTCCTCCAAACCTTAATGTCTAATAGCCTACTGTTGACCAGAAGTCTTACAGATAACATGAACAGTTTATTAACACAGTGTTTGTGTATCATATGTGTCATATACTGTATTCTTAAGGTAAGCTAAAGAAAAAATGTTAAGAAAATCATAAGGAAGAGAAAATACATTTATAGAATACTGTAATTTACTATCACCACCACCACCACCAACAACAAAAACAACCCATCTATAAGTGGATCTGCACAGTTCAAACCCATGTTGTTCAAGGGCCAGCTATAGCTGGAAACGAGGGAGGAGGGCATTTACCAGTTCTTTATAAACCAGTCACCAGGGCTCTGGTCTTGATTGGCTTTGTGCCTTGTTCAGTGACCAGCTCTTGCTTGTGGTTGGTGTTCAACACACTTATGTCAAATGGAATAAAGCTTTGGGGGTGTAGACAAGGGAATAGACTTCTTTTGGTATCAGCTGTGTCAGCCCCTTAACTTGGAGGGGCCTCAGTTGCTCAGTTCTAAAAGGGAGACTTTGGCCTGTCTCCTCCATGTCTGAGATATCTGGAAGCCTAAAATTTTCTGATTCACCAAGTATATGGGGACTTCTCCTAGACTTTTGGCCAAGGGACCCAGAATCAAAACTTAGGCTATCAGAGCAACATAAATATAAAATAATGTTTATTTGTGATAATAAGTTTATCCAACAGCATGCATTCAACTAGTCCTTACTGAGCATTTACCTATGTGCCTGGCATAGGAAAAAGGTACTGGGGGTACAGTGATGAGTGGGAGAGATAAGCCTCTGTGTTTATAGAGCTGAAATTCTAGCAAAGAGAAGATAGTCCACATATAAGGAAACAAATGAACAAGGTAATTTAGGGTATGATCATTTTGTTACGATAAATAATTGAGAGTTCCTGGTGTGTTAGGGCTCTCTGCAGAGGTGGCATTCGTGCAGAGTGCTGCTTGACAGGAAGAAGCCAGCCAGGCTAAGATCTGGGGACAGAGCATCTTAGGGGAGGGGTTGTCTACTTCTCTAGACATATTGCCTATGTCGGGGGCCTGTGGCTGTAGGGGTGCCAAGGAGCAGTCTTTGCTGTCCAGGCACTAAGCCTTTCTTTTCCTTGGTCCACAGACAGCTGTCATCAGTTATGACTATCTCACCTCCCTGAGGAGTGTCCCCTATGGCTCAGAGGAGTACTTGCAGCTTCGATCCAAGGTAAGGAACCCAGGGGACCCATCTGAGCCAGGCTAGGACTGGGTAAGTCTTGAAGTAGCTGTAGAGCCTGAGAAATTCCTGCATGCAGCTGGAGGTGGGAAGGGGGCGGTGTGGGAGATTGAGGCCGGGGGCTTGGGAGCCAGGAAAGGAGGACTTGCTCCTCATTGGAGATGTTTTTGTGCTGATGGGCCAGGCTGCCAGGCTGCCATCAAGGTGGGTCCCATGGCACTCAGGTTATTAATCTACGAGGCACTGTCAGGGAGGCTGGTGCGTGTTTCTGGGGAGCACAAGGTGTCTGGGATGACTCAGGAGGGATGAGTCCTGTTCCTGAGATAACTCAGTTGGCTTCGGAAGTGCTTTGTCAGGTAAAACCCGACTGAAAAAGGTTAATTGCTTTCCAGTCCTCTCAAGACTACACTGGGGCTTCTTGCTAAGCCGCTGAGTGGAGCTGTCGACCCCACACCTTTTTTCCTCACTTGGGATAGGTCCATTGATTTTGATGCTGTGACTAGATGAGTGAGGCAACAAGCAAGAAAGCAAGAAGGCATTTTTTTTTTTTTTGGATGTAAGTTGAGTTTGGGGTCAAGTGTAGATACTTTTGTTTCCTCCAGAGAGAGGTTTGTGATAGATCTATATGTCTTTGCTCAGCCTGGAATGCCCTTGGCCCCTTAGAAAATTTCTAGTCATCCTTTTGGCCTCAGCTCAAATACCTTTCCTCCGTGACACTTTCCTTCTCAGTCATTCTTGGTGAATGGGGTAATTAACTTTAAAATTTTTATTTAAACTTTTCATTATAGAAATTTCAACCATTAATGAGAATAGAATAGTATAATGAACACTTATACAATTGTCATCCAGCTTCAGACATTATTAACATTTTGTCAGTCTTGTATCATCTACTTGCTCCTTCATTCATTCATTTTTAATTCATTTATTTATTTTTGCTGAAATATTTAAAAGCAAATCTCAGGCATCATATTATTTAATTTGTAAATACTTAACTCTGTATCTCTAGTAGATAAGTACCTTAAAAAAGCTTAAATACCATAATCATAATTAACAAAATTAAAAAAAGATTTTATTTATTTATGAGAGAGAGACAGAGAGGCAGAGACATAGGCAGAGGGAGAAGCAGGCTCCCTGTGGGGAACCCGATGGAAAACTCCATCCTAGGATGGTGGGATCACGACCTGAGCCAAAGGCAGATGCTCAGCCATTGAGCCACCAGGTGCCCCATAACTAACAAATATAACAATATTTCCTTAATAACTTCTAATAGCTAGTTTATACTCAAATATCCTTGTTCCCAAAAATGTCGTTTTAAAGTTGGTACATTACAATCTGGATCCAAATGAAGTGCATATATTGCATTAGGAAACATCAACCAAAATCTTCTCAAATCTATAATATTTCCCTTCCCTCCTCTTTTTGAGCTATTTGCTTGTTGAAAAAAGCAGATCATTTACCCTATAGAATTTTCTGTATTCAGGATTTGGCTGATTGCATCATCAAAGCATCATTTAATGAGAAATAGATTCACATAGCATGCAATTCAAAGTATATAACATTTGAACATACAAAATTATTCTTCTCTCCCTTCCTCAGGTACCCAGTTTTCCTGCCTGGAAGTGATCATCATGTCATATGGGTCCTTCCAGAGATATCTTCCTTTTTGAATTTAATCATTCTGTCTTTTTTATTTCTACCACAAATGATAATTGGTTACATGCCTTCCTCTCACTTTAGACTATAGATTCCTTTAGATGAGGGATTGGGTCATCTTTTTTATATTTTCTACCTCTGATGATGATACCTAGGACTGAGTTGACTTAATGGCTGTTTCAGGCTACACCCTACTAGCTCCTTCCTTGGGAGAGAACTAGAAAGGGTGCATGGTTTGTATGCAGAAGACCTGAATGTGTGCTCTGTCTTTAAGGTGGTCATTTAGCCTTTGGAACTACCATTTTCCTTGTCTGTAGACCACAGTTGGCTATAGCACATATTGAGGCTTTAGATAATATCTGAGACAGTGTGTTGTGAAGTCTAAATGTGAAGCAGATATCAAAAATCAGTCGGATGTCTACTAGGAGGTGTGCTCCATGAGGACAGACACTTGGTCTTCATGTTCGCAGCACCAATAGCAGTGCCCAGGACACAGTAGGTCTTGAATAAAGGTTTGTTGAGCAAATGAATTGATGAAATGTTAGTTTGTGTCAGAAGATCTCAAAGCCCCAGGCTCTGAGACTGATGCCCATGCCCACCCCCTGCTTTTCCCTATCCCTCTTTCTCCATTGAACCAGTGTTCTGAGCCTCACAGCCCACCAGAGAGACATTCTGCACAGAGGTCCAGGCCAGGGCTCAGGGGCAAGCTCTCTGCAGAGCAGACAGGGGATGGGTCATGTGGAGACAGTGGCCCTCATGTGTAAGTCATCTGAAAGGCAATGGTGCCACAGTTCCTGGGAAAGTTGACAGCTTTAGGGGATGCAGGAAGGGAAGTGCAGCCTGGTATTTGGCAAGAGGGTAGCACGTGGTAGCTGACACAGATAACAAGAGTGTAGGCTGGTCCCTGGGAGTTGTGCCTGGGAAGGGGAGCTGGCGAGAGTAAATACTGCAGGAGTGTGTTCTTCCATTGGAACACTTATCTGTTCTTGTCTTCGTGACTGATAACGGAATGAGTGAAGGGTAAAACATAATTATCTCACCTGTCAAGTCAGCATCTCCAGGTCCCAGAGTATGCCAGAGCCAAGAGACAGTGACTTAGAGAAGCAGTTTCAAGGTTGGTGCTCGGCTGGCTGGTATCTGAGTGACTCAGCTCCACATCAGGAAGGGGTGGGAATCAAAGTTTTCTAGAGGTGCAGTGGCATTTTGCTGGGCAGCTGAGGGGGTGTGTGCTTTGAAGAACCAGACTCCTAGTGTCCAGGATGCTTGTAACCAGAGGCAGCAGGTGTGAACCAGCTTGTCCAGAAGGCAGAAAGAACTCATGGCTGATACAGGTGTTCAGACTGGGCTGGAGGAGGCAAGGCTGAGTTGATTCTGACCGAGGCAGTGTGGTATACTAGATGTATGTTCATTTTTCAGCTCAAGAACCATTCATATTTGAGGAGTAGCATCTAAAACTTCCTTTGGGGAGCCACCCATATCTCATGTATTTACCATGAGGTTTGAGTGAGGCTAACTCCACCTTCAGCTCCAAGAGTGGGCACATGACTTAGGCCATCTGTAGAGTCTATTCCTGTAGCCCTAGAGATTGATTCAGGGATGGGCATCTGAGCCAGTGTTGGTCAGTGAGTGTCAGGTCTAGGACTTTTGGGGGTGTCCCTCATAGAACACTGCCGTTTCTGCTGTGTTAGCTGCAAGTATAGGATGTTGACTTAGAGCTGCTGGCAGCCATCTTGCCATCATGAGGCGACAGCCTGTCGTGAATGGAGTCAGTATTGTAGAGAGACGTGTCATTGGAGTCCCTAGATCTTGCTGAGCCTGAAACTAGATTACCACTGGACTTTCCAGTTAGATGTGCCAGGAGATTATCTTTTTGCTTCAGATGGTTTGAGATTAGTTTTCTGTTACATGCAATCAAATGATTCCTAATACACTGGGGACTCCTGGAGAAGCATCCTTGATCTTGAAGCACATGTAGGGTTTTGATAGATCTTAGAAGGTCTGGTAATTCAAGAAAAGAATGAAATTCAGAAATTCCAAGGCCTAAACAGAGTGAGGAGGGGTTTGCATGGTGCTGGGTAGTATTGTGGGCATTTTGGCCTTTCAGGCTCCTGGTCGGCCACCACGCACGCACCTGTATTGCCCTATCTGTAAAGTGGTGGCAGTGGCCTTTGCACCAGCTGAATCTGGAGGAACAGAGATGAGAAGCTTTATTAAATTAAACACTGTGGATTCTTGAATATGGCCAGAGGGGAGATTGAGAGGCACAAAGTTTGTCTCAGTGGCTCCTTATCATTTTAATGAACAAGTTAATATTTTTCTATTTTTCTTATTTTTACATCTGTTAATTAGAATTCTTCTGTAAGGAAGAGCTATCCCTTCTCCTTTAGTTGCTTATTTAATTATTTTTATCATATGAACTCATGGATATTTTTAATATTCTATGGATTGTAGCCTGAAACCATCATTATTTTTATTGTTCAAATTCTTCTAATTTTGGCCATTGGGAGCTCCTTCAGGTTGATTTTTTTGTGTGTGTGTGTCATTTTTGCACGTCTCTATTCATTTTTGAGCACTATCTTAACTTTTTTTTTAAAGGTTTATTTATTCATTTTAGAGTGGCAGAAGGGAGACACACACACACACACAGAAAGAGAGAGAGAGAGAGAGAGAGAGAGAGAGAGAGAGAGAGAATGCAAATACATTAGATGAGGGGCAGAAGGAGAGGGAGAGAGAATCCTAAGCAGACCCTCTGCTGAGCACAGAGCCCCATGGGGCTCCATCTCACAACCCTGAGCTGAAACCAAGAGTCGGACACTCAACTAACTGAGCCACCCTGGCGCCCCCACTATCTTACCTTTCTAATCTGCAGACTCATCTTGTATTTTCCTTACCCCAGCCCTGGAATCAATCACTTCTCCAAGGAGTCCTGGTTCCTTTTATTGGAGAATGGTATTTAGAAACCAAGATGTTGGTGCTAGATACGCATATTGCTCCTGGAGTGCCATTGTTTTTAGGCCCTTCCAGGAGGTGGAGCTAGGAAATATATGTATGTATATTTACTCATGCTTACACACACCTGTTAAAAAACTGTGAGTTTATACTGATATTTCCAATTCCAGTCTAACATCACAGAGTTTATTTTAGCTCTCTCCCATTCCTTATGTGTAACTTATTTCTCTGAAAGTGACAGCCTGTTATTATCTACAATATATTCACTTACTTGTTCAACTAGTATACCCTAAAATAGTTAAAACCCTTGGGGCATATAGGAGCAGAGAGAATGGCCCAATCTGGGTGAGACTGAATGAGTTAATGGGGTGTTTGAGCTGGGTCTGGAA